ACCACCATACCTGGCTTAATCACACCTGTCTCAACACGGCCAACGGGTACAGTACCAATGCCACCAATCTTGTAGACATCCTGAAGTGGGAGACGGAGGGGCTTGTCAGAAGGCCTCTTGGGCTCGTTGACATTGTCAAGAGCCTCAAGAAGGGTTGGTCCCTTGTACCAATCAAGGTTTGTTGACCTCTCAATCATATTGTCTCCCTCAAAACCAGAGATTGGAACAAAGGGAACCTTGTCAGGATTGTATCCGACCTTCTTCAGGTAGGATGACACTTCCTTGACAATTTCTTCATACCTAGCCTTTGAATACTTGGGGGTTGTGGCATCCATCTACAAATAAACATCAAGAGATCATCAGCAAATGTGATTCAACATAAGATTACTGTTAAAATCAATATAAACATAGTATTAAATCATTTAGAAGTAAACAAGGACAGTTTATAAATGAAACCTTGTTGCAGCAGCAAATCATCTGCTTCACACCAAGAGTGAAAGCAAGCAAAGCATGTTCACGGGTCTGACCATCTTTGGAAATACCAGCTTCAAAACCACCAGTGGTAGAATCGATGATCAAAACAGCACAATCAGCCTGTGAGGTTCCAGTAATCATGTTCTTGATGAAGTCACGATGTCCAGGAGCATCAATGACAGTGCAGTAGTACTTTGTGGTCTCAAACTTCCACAAAGCAATATCAATCGTGATACCACGCTCACGCTCAGCCTTAAGTTTGTCAAGAACCCATGCGTACTTGAAGGACCTCTTGTTCATCTCAGCTGCCTCCTTCTCAAACCTCTCAATCACACGCTTGTCAATACCTCCTAGCTTGTAGATCAAATGACCTGTGGTGGTTGACTTCCCAGAGTCGACATGGCCAATGACAACAATGCTGATGTGAATCTTTTCTTTACCCATGGTGGATTATGCTACCTGAACGCAAATAGAAATTAAAATGGAGTTTCAGCAATTATAAACATGGATATAGGATATTATAAAAACTTTTGGGCATATGCTATTCAAAGTTTATGAGAACATATCACTGTACAGTGTTTGAAAAATATTTTGCGACTTGGATGCCAGAACGAACGACATCCAGATCTTCAGAACAGGCACATCTCACACATCATTTTAAAATGAACCATCAATTGACAATACTCCAGACAAATTATGCCTATCAAAGTAACTACGTATAACTTACAAACAGAGATGAGATAACAAAAGACATCGAGATCTTCAAAATAGTTAGTTCTCACACATATATTTAAAATCAACCAAAAATTTACAATACTACAGACTTTCTTAACAAGTAATACAGAGAAAATCTCAACGATAACTCTGACCTAGTACAGAGATCTCGATCAGTAAGGATCTAGAGGTTCAATATAAACAAAGATTCAAGAGATACACGTACTTAAACACCATTTCTACTACTATTTAAATAAAAACAAAGCGAACAGCTTGATTCATAAAGAAAGCATGGCTAAAATGTAGAGACCACATGAAATGCTTATATATATGCGCTGTACTCGTAAATTATTACGCAATCTTCGGGATCTTACTAACCTTTAGTTGAGTGAATGCTGCGGCCGGGCAAAGAGAAGAGTATACAAAGCAGGGATGATTCTGATCAGTTTGAGAGTATATATAGGCGAGAAATGATGCATTAGGGCAACAAGAAGCTTTCGTTTACGTAAATACCCCTGTATGGAATACAGGTGGTAGGGTTTTTCCTTTTTCACACAAGTGGACTACATGACATGAACAATAAATAGCATCCACCTAGACTTATGAAAAATAAATAGCGAAATTTATACAAATAAACTCAAAATCTTGAGCTACGGACCGACCAGTTTACTAACACATACGGAGCAGTTGGTATATGCTAGTCCAATTAAAATAGAAGTCCATTAACTCAAAACATCTGGCCCAATTTTTTACCGGGTAACATCGATAACTCAAAACAAAAGACTGCGAACAAATGATATTAAAAACAGAAAAATAACTGGGTTTTTTCTTTAAATATTACTAAATTTAATCTGATTTCCAAAAATGTGATCAGTTTTTTAAAAGAAAAAAATTTGTCTAAGAAGGTCACATATTTGGAAAACATGATGTCACTGTCATTTCTTTGTCACTATCGGACTGTTATGTCACTATAAGATATATGTCACTGCCGCCGCCACCACCGTTGGTCACCGCCACCACCGATCACCGCTGTCGGACACAGTGACACCGCTATAGTGACACCGCTAAAGTGACTCCGGTCAAAGTTATGGTCCACCCATCACCCACAGTGACACCGCCATAGTAACACGCCGTCTTCGGTCTCCCATCCCTCCACCGCTCCTTACCCCAGCCCCATACCCCTCCACTGCTCCCCTCCCCCTCCCCTGCACCCCAGCCCCACATCCCCCTTCCCCTGCACCCTAGTCCCCTTTTCCTGTCCCCAGCCCCTCCCCTGCACCCTAATCCCCTTCCCCTTCGCCTGCCCTGCCCCACCACCATCACCACAACCCTGCACTACCCCCCATTACCCCAGACCTGCCCTCATTATCATTCCAGACCTGCCGCACCCCATCAACATAGCCACACCCCACCCCCACAAGCCCTGCCCCATCCCCATCAGCCCTTCCCCAGGCCCCCAGGCCTCAGCTCCAACAAGCAGTAAATCCTAGCCCCCAACCCACAGTCCCGAACCCTAGCCCCCAACCGCCATCCAACAAGCTCCGCCAGTAACCCTAGCTGCCAGCCCGTTTTCGCCGCCCTGGGATCGAAATCGAATGTCGTTGAAACCTTGCCAACCGGATAGGTGAAGATCGACGGCAACAGTCTACTAGAAGTAGATGTAGAGCTCGCGAGAAGAGAAGAAGTAACTTTGGTGATGGAGGTGCGACGGTCGAACGGTGGCGATGATGGAGGCGTTGCGGTTTGGCTTCGGCGTGCGGCGATGGTGGTTCGGCTCCGGCATGCGGCGATGGTGGTTCAGCTCCGGTGTGCGGCGATGGAGGTGCGGATCTGGCTTGCCACAATGGAGATGCAGCTCTGGTTGACAGAGATGGAGGTGCGGCTATTTTGAGCGGAGATGGAGAAGCTATCTTGCGTAGATTCAAATGGCCAGATCCAATCGCAGAGATTTGTGCGTGAGAGTAAATGTGTGGGAGAGAGAGGCGCTTATAATCGGTTACTTTTTTGGAAAAAAGTAAAATGGTCATATATTTGTCTTTCAAAACCCCACAAGTAATACCTTTGCCATTTTTTCAAAATAACTTCTTCTCTCAAAAACTGAACTGTCTTCTGAAATATGTTCGCAAAACGACGCAAGCATTCATAGACGCCGTATTTTAGCTCGAAAAACGAGGACAACCTCCAGACGTTTGTCAACTTCGTGGAGTTGGAGAGCAACAACAAGTTGAAGAACAGAGGAAGAGTTTGAGCAACAAGTTGTTTGTGTTTGATCATTGAAGCAAGCGATGGACTTAGTATCCGAGTATGAGATGATGTTAAACGCAGATAAGAATGGAAATGCAGAAGCATCAGAGAGGTATGTCAATATACTTGCATGTTTCGAAAATTATAGAAAAAAGACTTCCAAGGTTCCACCGAAGAAAATGAAACAAAAAGCAACTCCAGTAAAGGAAAAGGCTACGATGGACCTAATAAAAGAAATAGAAGCTGAGATAATGATGAGCGACGAAGAAACAAGGGATGCAGAAAAGACTGCTAAAGAAAGTAATAAAGAATGTGAGCAAAGCAATGTTCAAGGTACTAAACCAAATGTGCATCAAGAGGAAGTAGATTTGGAAGGGAATGATAAGTTTCAAGAACAAGAAAGTGAGGGGATGATGAATGAGCGAGAAACAAGGAATGGTAGCAGTAAGACGACTGAACATGTTGGAGAAGAATCTGAGCAACAAGGGATGGAAACTGAGCACAACAAGGCGTTGCACAGAGAAATAATGAGAAGAAAAGGAAGAGAAATAACGCAAGCGCACTTAAGAAAAGTGGCGAGCAAGGTAATTCAAGCAAAGAGAAAGACGGTGAGGATGTTAGCCCAAAAAAAAAAGAATTACAAGATCAACAACATCAGAAACAAGTGAAAAGAAGAAAGATGAAGTTCAAAAAAATAAGAAAGAAATTGATGCAAAAAATACAAGAACAAGGCAAGCAGGGTCATTAAAAGTGAAAAAGCAAAAGATGAAGAAGAAGATAGCAACAGAAGAAGAAGAGTTTGAGGAGGACGAAGAGGAGATAGAGAAGGAAAATAATGATAAATACCCAAAGCTGTGGACAAGAATGTCTCTGAGTGGTATAACAGAAATAATGAAAACTCTAAGTCCAAAACAGAAGGAAGAGGTAGTCGAGATGAGATTTGGCCCCTTACTGAACCTTGAAGTCAAGCAATTTCCAATGCAGTTGGCATATTGGGTGGTGGAGAGTTTTGATAGTAGAAGTGTGTCTCTTGTTCTGCCGAACAATAAGAGATTGAGGATAAATGAAGATGCAGTGCATTTCACATTGGGGTTTCCAAAAGGAAACATTAGTGTGAAGAATTTGATTGATAGTGAAGCTGAGAATACATCACACATTGTGGCTGATTGGAGATCGCAATTCGAGAGTGAAAATGGAGTTGTGAAGACTGCTTAAGTGAAGAAGGTTTTAGAAGAAAACAGAAAAGGTGGATGATGGTTTAAAAAGAATTTTTTGGTTCTCCTGGTAATGTGTTTGATTGAATGCAAATCAAAGCATTCTGAAGACATTGAAGGATGATTCAAAAATCAAGAATCTGAATTGGTGTGGATACACATTGGAAACATTAATTGAAGCAAAGGACTATTAGAGCAAAAGTAAAGAAAGACAGTTCCCAGGGCTTTTATTGTTTCTGATTGTAAGTTACAAATTCTATAATGTTATTGATCAATTGTATCATATTATTAATCAAATAATTATATGCAGTACACAATTCTAACATCTTATAAAATATGTAGGTGTTCTACGGGCCGCAAGCGCCGATCCATAAGAAGTGAAGTGGGAGAAACAAAGCGAAGGCTTCGACTGATCTGCAAACAGGAGGAGATCGAAATCGCGGAAATGGATCGAGACGCTCTGTGCCAGGCTTTCGTCACACACTACTACAACACCTTCGATTCCAATCAGCCCAGTTTAGCCAATCTCTACCGGGATCAGTCCATGTTGACATTCGAGGGCATGAAGATTCAAGGCATCGAGAACATCAAATAAAAGCTGATGAACCTCCCTTTTGCGCAGTGCTTGCACCATATCACCACCGTTGACTTCCAGCCCTCTGGAGCTCACGGCGGCTTTCTCGTATTTATCAGTGGCAACCTTCAACTTGGCGGTGAACAGCACCCACTTAAGTTTAGCCAGATGTTTCATTTGATGCCAACACAAACAGGAAGTTTTTATGTGCACAATGATGTATTCCGTTTGAACTATGCATGAAGGTGGGAAACTGTGTGATGGATAGTCTACCCAGGGGTATGTATCCGAAGGTTTATTGCGGGGAATAACTAGAGAGAAGTCAGAGCAAATAAGTAAGAGAGAGTGTGTGTATTTGATATGTATTTTTTCTTGGGTTACAAATGGGGAAAATGGGCGCTATTTATAGTAGTAATAAATGCCAGATAGGGACACGTGTCAAGGCGCATGTGGCCGCATTTAATGCGGCTGTTGGCTGTGACGTCGTACTTGGTACGGTGATTCAGGCGCATGTGGAGAGGATATTATGTCGAGAAAGGTGTCCTCGGTTGTAGATGATTAGCCGAGGACTCTGAGTACCGGGGACCTTCTTAGTGCCGAGGGCTCTAGGTGCCGAAGGCTACTGATTTTCGCCATTTTCTCCCAGTAACTTTGTTTGCTTGAGTTGGCCGTCCTATGAGAATTGGAGCCTTCGGCCAGGGGGGCGAAGGCATTCCCAGTGTGCCACGTGGGTTGTTTAGCACTTGGGGCGCTGTGTGTTTGGGCCTGCTGTGCTCCCTGGGCCTATTGGGCCTCCGTCAAAAATAGCAGGAGTCCATGGGCCGGGGGTTCTTGGGCCATATACTCCATCAGGAGTCCCTCACTCCTTTTGCCGAAAGGTACTTGAGGGAAAAGGAGTAATCTGTGTTTGTCCTTTGATGTTGTTCTGTTGTAGTTTGTAAAGTTTGTGAGTAGTTTGCTGTGTGCATGTTTCAGCCGAGGGCAGTCCCTCAGTTACCCACATTCCGGGACTTGAGGGATCATGCTCGTTGTTGTGGGAGTTTTTGACATTTTTTGTCTTTTTGGGATTTTTCCCGAAGGGGTCCTCCAGTCCCCCACTCCTTGAGGCACTTGCAAAGTGGTGAAAAGAAGTAGATTAGTGCTTGTCTGCCTACAATATGAAGCCGAGGGGTGACACTTTTCGTTTCATTTTGGGGGGATGCCTCGTTAAAAACCTCATTGGAAAAAACCATGTGGGAAAAATTCCAATGAGGGAAAAAGAGTGCACCGGTTTCCAGGCCCAAGCCCGGATCCAGGCGCCTATAAATACCCCAAGGCCTGGGTCACTTTCCCTTGTGCGATCTCAGTGTAGCGAAGCTCTGCCGAATTTTCTAGAGAGAGAAGCTCCAGCCTTTGGTCAAAACCATCTTTCAGAGGTCAGTTCTTGCTCCGCTCTCGGCCATTCTTGTATACTTCACTTCCCCTTCATTTCCCGGCCTTAGATTAAGTGCCTGTAGCTTAGAGCTTTTAGAACCTCCCTCCGACCCTCGGTTTAGTGCCAAAATGTCTTCACAAAGTGATTCCCAAGACATTTCGAGGGAGCCCTCAGTTGGGGCGGAAACATATTCTGACGTCGAGCCTTCGAGCGAGGAGTCTTCGGCGGATAATGACGCTGTTGTGGCCATAGAGGTGGAGAAGGACCTCAGGGCCGAGGTCGAAGCCGAGGACTTCGAACAGGTAAATGAGGATGAAGAACTCGCCCTTGCCGTGCAGACTGCTGAGGAGGAAGAGGAGAAGGAAAGGATGAAGGTGATTGTCGCTATCCTTCCCTCTCGTGGTGCCGGGGAAGCCAGTACCTCCCGGCCCTTGAACCTGACGCCTATCAGTGTGGCTCCCGGGAAAAAGAAGAAGACGAGGGCTACTCCAAAGAAGAAACAAGCAGCCGTGGACGCTGGGCGGCCAGTGGGCATACCTGAGGGCCATTCCTTCCTGAACACCGCCGCCCTAGAGTTGAAGATGAGGGCGTCCCCGGCAGAGTACCAGGCCATTCAAATCCTGGTTGGCCCTTCGGCACGTGTGGTAGAGCCAGGGGGCGATGATCTGTTACGATACGCACGTGTGGTAGAGCTAGGGGCACGCTTCCGGTCCCACCCCTCAGGAGCACATCAACCAGGACTTCTTCGGCCGGGAGAAGTTGGAGGCGATAGTGCCGAAGGGGGCATCTGTGCTGGAGGGCAGCCTCAACCCCTCGGTGCTGATGAGCCAGATGTTTCCCTCGGCCGATCGGCTGGCCCTTGCAAGGATGGACGAGGGCTCCCTCGAGGCCAAGATTCTGCTGAGCAGTGCCTCCATGAGTCACGATCTTCTTTTCCCTTCGTATTTGCTTTTGCTTTTACGTACTATGTTCACCATGTCTAACCGTTATCTTTGTTGACTGTAGACCTTTATGGGCCTTTGTGAGCACCTCCGAAGGGTGGAGCATATGAAGGAGGCGAAGGGTGTTGCCGAAGGGGAAGCCGCCAACCTTAGGAAGAGGCTGGCTGAGGCTGAGGATTCCCTCTGCTTGGCCACTGATAGCCTGGAGCAGCGAGTGCAAGCTGCGAGGGCCGAGGGGAAGAACGAGGGCCTGGCTGAGGCCGGGGAGGCTGCTGCCGAAGCCGCCTGCGTCGCTGCTGAGGAAGCCCGTGTGGCTAAAGAGGAGGCCGTCGCCAGAGCCCAGGAGGAAGCTGTAGCTGGCTTTACTGCCGAGGGGTGGAAAGCAGAGGAGTAGAAGGAGTGGCTGTCCTCGGTGGTGGAGGCTTCGGTGGATGATTGGGTTGGAGGCCCCGGCAAAATGTGGCTTGCTGAGAAGGGTGACTCCTACTATCAAGGCGGGGAGTTTTTCACCCAGCGCCTCATATACCGAAAGCTGGTCAGACACTTTAAACTCTCGCCGGAGGAGTTCCAGCCCGAGGCTTATGGCCTCCCCCCTCGGCAACCAGAAGTCAGGATCCCCCTCCCCGAAGGCGAAGAGAGGCCAGTGCTTGAAGACTCGGAGACCCTAAGGGAGTGCGGCCTCGGGGGTGACGGGATGAGGCCGAAGGCGAAGCCACTTCAAAAGTTGTCGATGGGGGCGACGTTGTAGCTCCCAATCTGTAATTTGTACTCTGAACAATTTTTGTAATCACATTGCTCAACTTTTGGCTTCGACTCTTATGAACATCTTGCCCCGTGTTTTGGGTGAATTGATGCCTCTGGGCTTTTGTATATAACATGTTTTTGTTTTTGAATGTATGTCTCTACCTTTATTTGTGAAATGTATGCCTTCTAAATATGCCTTGTGAATGAATGCCCTCGTACTTCGATGCTTAGGTTGTCAGTTGTTTGGGACTTAGAAAAATTCTCTTAGTGTTGTCCTCCCATCAGGCCTTCGGTTGTGTGGCCCCTCGGGATGCATGGGGGTTTGATCGAGGGCAAAAATATTTAGGACTTAGAAAATATTTCTAAATGTAGTTGTATGAGATAGGAGCCTTCGGGTGAATGTGAGAGCCTTGTCGTAGGAGTGCCTTCGGTTGACCGATGGCTCGACAGCGGGCAAAGCATTCAGGACTTAGGGAAAATTTCTCTAAGTGTTGTTTAGTATCACGCCTTCGATCACTTCCCCCCCCCCCCTGGGCGTGAGAATACGTGGCCGAATGCCAAATATGTAGAACTTAGCAAAAAAAATTCTAAGTGTTGTTTCACTGAGTCTTCGGCTGCGTAGCCCCTACGGTTGTCTGAGAATTTGACCGAGGGCCAGGGTATTTAGGACTTAGAAAATTTTTCCAAGTGTTGCTTGTCGCCTGCCCTTCGGCCTACGCCTTCTCTTAGTTGTATTGAATAGCTTAGCCTTCGTTGCGTGATGGGTTGGCTGAGGGCCAACCATCTAGGGCTTGGGACATTTTCCATATTTCATGGTGAATGGACCCTTCGATTTGTAGTATCCTGAGTAAGAGATCCCTCAGTGAGGGGTGGTGTTACCGAAGGCACCCAACTTTGTAGACTTGGAAAAATTCCTCGGCCTGGGAGACTGGCCCCCGGTGAGTAGAAGTTGCCTTCGATCTTTGTTGATCAGAAGAGCCTTCGGCCCTTATCATGCTTCCAAAGGTGCCGATGGGAACGTAGGTGCCTTCGGCATTACTTGAAATGTTGTTGAGTGAACATATCAAGTTCTGTATGATTTGAACCTTCGGTTTTTGATGTAGCCGGAGGCAATCAAAAAGTGGACTTGGCCGTTTGTTGATGATGTTTGTTGAATAGTATCTTTGGTAATTAGGAGCTTCCAGGTACCGAAGGTGTTCCCGTGGGGAGCCCTCGGCATGTTCCCATGAGTTTGTTTGGAGAGGTGTACTCATTGATTTGTCGCTGAGTCTACTCCCCTTCACCACCCCATTTTTTTTTGGTAGTGAAGGGAAGGCTTCAAGAAACTTGGTTTCTTGGTAAGGCTTGGCCTATCGGGAGGCAATAGAATACACCATTAACTCCCCCCTCGGGTTAACCTTCCGAGTTCCGAGGGTATCGAGAGTCGTTTCTTGGGCACAAGACATGGTCTGTAGCCTGCCTCCCCTTGGGAGATGGCACGGAAAGCGCCTCAGTTTAGAAAGTCGTCCCCTCGGCGCCAGACACAGTCTGTGGCCTGCCACACCCTTGGGGTAGTGGCGCGGGGAGCGTTTCGCTTTGGAAGTCGAATCCTGGGCATATTAGATGTCTGCCAATCCCTTGGGGAGATGGTGCGGAAAGCGTTCCGTTTTTGAAAGTCGAATCATGGGCATATTACCTGCCTGTCATACCCTTGGGGTAGTGACGCGGAAAGCGTTTCAGGGAAGGGTTTTCATTTGCACACTGGTTGCAAATGGCCGGGGGCACTACGTGCTAACGACACCGATAGGTGGCGCCTTTGGTATATGCGTCCTCGAGGGGTACGGCTTTAGAAACAACACTTGGTGTTTGCTCCGGTATACGGCCCCCGGCACTTGGTACCGAGGGGTCTTCTGTAAAAACATTTGGTGTTTTTCATTTGGCGTAGGTGATTGGGGTGTCTACCCTCGGCACTTGGTACCGAGGGGTCTTCAAAGGAAACACTTGGTGTTTTCTTCCGTTTGTTGAAAGTTGATAGTAGTGTATGCCCCCGGCACTGGGCGCCGAGGGGCCTTCTGTAAAAACATGTGGGGTTCTCTTTCTATATCGTGGGTGATAGTATAGTCTACCCTCGGCACTTTGCGCCGAGGGTTCTTACTTCAGATAAGGCCTTGGGCCAGGGGCTGATA